GGCTGGGGTCAGACTCTCAGCTGGGCAGCTTCAACAGCGGGGACATCTGTGGCTACATTGACCGCAGCTTCGCCTTCTGGAAGGAAAAAGAAGCTGAAATGTTTAACTTTGGAGAATGAGTTCACCCGGGGGAATGAATGGGACTCTGGGGGTTGGGTGGGGTGGGGTTCCTCTTTTTCATTCTCTTCCTTCCCTGTGAGTCACGTGAAAGTGGGCATGATGTTGGCTGACTCCAGTCTGTCTTCACGGAGACCAGAGGTCTCTTAAGCCATGGGTGTCCCTCTCTTCTGACTTGGGGTCAAAATCTTTGTCACTTGTGAGCACAGGCTTCAGACTCTCCAGTGGCCATGTGGGCGTGATGCTATGCAGTCAAGGAGCTGGCATCCCAGCACCGACCAGCTTCCCCCCCCCCCCCATCAGACTTGTTTCTAGCAGTCACCTGGCTGTCCCACTCCTGTTTCCATGGTGCAGATGGCCTCAGCCACAGCAACAGCCCCTCTACATCCCCTTCAGACCTCAGCCCTGCTTCTGCGTTTTCTTCTTTCTTTCTTTCTTTCTTTCTTGCAACCTCCTATCTGTAACTGGAGTGGAGCCATGTCTAGTTTGAACAGTCTCCCTGGCAGGAGAGAAGAGGAGGGCAGGAGGGCTTATGGAGGAGACTTCAAAGCCCCAAGGCAGGCAAATGGCCTTGCCCTGACGACTGTCCTGCTGGTCAGTCATAGCCTTCGCTGTCATGCAAGCAACATCTCTCCTCTGATACTGCCTGATCCCTGAGGGAATGTTCCAGGCTAGGCCTTTGTCTTCCAGCTGATCGGCCCCTCCCAGACCCACAAGTGGAAGCAGTAGCAGGACACAGGAGGGTCCCATGAGCAGGGACACCAAGAGGTGAGGAGTCCTCTGAGCAGAGAGGTTGGCGCCCTCTGAAGGTAAACTGAGTTTCTGGGAATAGCATTCAGCGAGGGTAGGACATACCAGGGGTGTTCATACGGGCATCTGGGTGTCACCTCCATAATACCCCATTCCCGGTTAGGTACAGAGAAAGGAGCCAAACACCCTTGGGGATTCCAGGTACTATAGAGAGCTACAGCAGCCAGGGGCTAGAGAGGAAGCCTCCAGATGGCTGGCTGTAAGGCTGGCTTGTCTTCAGATTCCGGCAGCATGCAGAAGAATAAGCCACCACCCAGAAGAACTGGGCTGGAACCCGTGGGAACTTTGGGCTAGGGGGATTTGTGAGGAGACTGCACGGGAAGGGGATCTGCAGCCAACCTCCTTGAAGCAAAGGCATGCTCAATGAGGACAGGCCATCTCCACGAGTCTCCTGCAGTGTCCCCACATTACCACTAGGGGGAGTAAGGAGCCCTAACCTTTGGGGCTGTTGATTGGAGCAGAGCCCACTCAGACCAAAGACTAGGCAGGGGTTCCACAGAAAGGGACCTTCAGGGAGATAAAACTGGCGTGGGTAAAGGGTGTTGTTGCGGAAAGAGCCACAAATTCCATTAGCATTGGTCCTGGCTACGAGTTGCCTACAGCCCTAGCCTACCCTGGGACCTGCTCCCCGGGTGACTGGTGAACCCCCCTACCCAACTGTTGGCTTCCTCTGCTTCTAGAGCCTCACTGGGAGCTAAAGCAGGATGTGTGTTTGCTAAATAAAATTCCTGTTCCTGGCTGGTGAGCACTTGCTTATCACCCCAGCCCTTGGGAAAGCTGCCTGGGTCTACAGAGCCTGGACACGGAGTGGACACTCAGACCCCAACTCCTTCAGAGCAGCCGCAGCATCGGGGCAAGATATTAACCCCAAGAGGATCCAGACTCCTCCCAGCATCATGGGATCAGGGATGCGGTGCTGATGCTGCTTTGTCTATCCCAGGTCCTGGTGGGATTGAAGGGTTGGTGGGTGGGTGAGAGGTTCTGCCCAGAGGCTCCCTGTAAGCTCAGATGCTCACTAGCCTGTGGTACTCCCATGGGTAGACAGATACAGTGGGAAGGACACCTGTAGGGTAGTTACTGCAACAAAGAAGGAGGCAGAGCTGTGGGTGGGTGTGGGGGCAACAATCACAGAGCCCAGCCAAGAAGTGGGCACACCCAGTCCTCACGGCCTTTGGATATCAGTTTCTCAGCTAAAAGGCCAGACTCAGACTCTCAGGGACACCCAAGAAGATCTGAGGAACCTAGAGCTAGATGGGGTGCCAGGCAGGGGAGGCAGTGGGGCCTCAAACCTAGGCTTGTGGCCCAAATGGAAGGCAACTTCTACAGACAAATCACTTCTACAGAAAGCCAGTAGCCATAGAGACTCTGTGGAGACCTGGGAGGTGTGGGGGGGATCCAGTCTTCCTCTACATAGCCCAGCAGGTCCCCTACCCCAAAGCGGCCTTTAGATGACCAAGGCTTGAAGGTTCTCTAGTGGAGCCTGATGGGACATTCTGAAAGGACCACCTCAAAATGGTACTTGTGTGGCATTGCTCTTTTGAGACACTAGATTTGGGGACAACTTGTTCCACAGCAATAGCTGACAGATACAGCAGGGGAGTATAGGAAAGGACATTGATTCTGACCTGAGGTGTCCTTAATATAGAGCAGTATCCATCCAGCAAGGTGGTTCTGACCAAAGAACAGAGAAGCCTGTCTGTTCACACATGCAAAGCACGGCTTGAGAGAAAAGTACTGCAACCGCTCTACAGGGACTGAAGAAGGGCCAGTCACGGCATGGAGAACAGCAGCTAACGGGTAAAAGAGAAGAGAATGCATTTACAGCAACCCCTCCCCAAGTCAATCTCACATGCACCCAAAGACTGTGTACCAGTCAGAACATAAACCCTGAAGTGTAGGAGGCAGTCTGACTTGTGGGACCCTGTCCTGGGTTGGCCCCACAGCCACGGGAATATCCACACACCCTGCAAAAGCAAGCGTGCCTCTTCCAGGCCTGGTCCCTGGTCCCTCTGGTGTGACTCGAAACTTTTGAAGATTTTAGTGGCGCATTTTAGTTTGGTGAACTGACACTCAGCATCTGTTCTGGGAAAATATCTATACCTGCATAGCTCATACTCTTCATCATAGTGTCCAAAATGGAAGATGACCCAAAAGTCCACGAATAGGAGCTGTGCCTGGGGTCACATCCAGCTCTGGGAAGAAGGCATCTCTCTGTCAAGATGAAATTTAAACCCGTGTTTTCAAACCAATCTCCACAAAACCCATGATTCAGCACCAAGTGATCAAGGCAGTGACATGCACACGTCCAGCCAGCCAGCCGGCCATGTGCGCACATCCAGATTCATGGCTGACTGTCCGTGAGGGGTGTTGTCATTTGCTATTAGAGAGTTCTGCTTTATATCTTTATACTTTTCAAAAACGTGTGTGATTTTTATCACCATGGGCCTACTTTAAAGTCCCAATTCCTGGAAGCAGTCTGTCGTTTAGAGCCCCCAGTGTTGTGTCTTCTGCCAGGTCTGTCATCCAGTGATCTGTTGGGCCTCTAAGGCCCGTGCAGTCTGCTGGGAAACCTGCTCACTTAGCACAGCCAGCTCCCTGTGACAGCGCCTGTGTTATAGTTCCTGCTCCTCATTCCCTCCAGACGGAGCAGGCAAGCGCTGACTGTGTACACGGGGCGGTGAGAAAGCCTTCACCTCGCTTTGGTGTCTTCTCCTTGGTGGCCTCAAATGCACAGCAGACAAGGACACCCATGAGGGTCCCCTATACCATGTGAAGTTAAATACCAGAGAGAGAGAGAGAGAGAGAGAGAGAGAGAGAGAGAGAGAGAGAGACTCTGTGCCAAAGAAGCAGGGCGAAGGAGAAAGCCCTGGGGCCAAGTGCCAGGGATCCTCTGCACATGGAATCTGCCAACGTGAGGAGTTGGTTAGGCCTTCTGGGGCTCCCTTGGTGGTGCTCTTGTTTCTCCTGGGCGCAAGGCTATAGGGTCTGCTCATGAACTTCTCCAGCTGTTACTGGCCAAGTAGGTACCACGCATCCCCTGCAGTCTAATATCTAATTTGCCAGGAGGGCTGTCACGTCACTCAAAGCCATCTGGGACCCTGTCTATGAGAGCGTCAGCTCCATCCCTAGGGACCTCCGGAAGCAGCACAACAATGACCATGTTACTAAAGCCCACGTGTGAGAAGGAAGGAGGGACTGGGTGGTGAGGCCCTGGCTAGTCACCCACCCTGCACTGAAGCCCCTTACCTGGGAAACTTGACTCTCACCCTTCCTCAGGTCCCTTGACCCAACATGACCTTGACTGATATAAGCATCCTAGACTTTTTCTGTGAAGTGTGTCCCCATGAACCAAGCACTACATGGAAGGTTGCAAACCTTGGCTGTTTTGTTTTTAGATGACCCCCCCCCCCCCCCATTTCTTAGCTGCCTGAAGCACTCAGGATAGAGGGAAACACCGGGGCAGCCCAAGACCAAGGCTTTGTTTATCATGTGGGGAGAATCCCGGTCTCTCCCAACCATGCACCCGGATGTCAGGGAGTCTCGTCACTACCCCGAGCACCAACTTTGCTGCCGAAGCCTCCCCAGCCACCACTGTGGACTTCAAACTTGGAGACAAGGCTGACCAACCTGTGCTTACTTGTGATGTGACCATCCCACTCCACAGAGGGACTGTGGCTACCTGGGCCCCCATTGGTACAGTGATGAAGGTCCTTAGTGTCAGCCCTGAGCGGTTTTCTATGGGTCCCACAGGCCCCAGGTGCAGGCAGAATCCTGACGTCTCCACCCTGCCATGTCTCCATCTCATGTTCTCAGCTTCCTCAGCCCAACCTGATTGCCTGGGACATGAATCAAAGCACCTGCTTGCTCGAGAGGCTTCCTCCTGTCCATTCTAGCACTCGGGTACCCAGACGTCTCCTGTGTGATGCTGACAATGTGGGCTTTCAAAGGAGACAGTCTTCGAAGAGCTGTGACCTCACGCTCTCCTCCTCCAGTCTCCCCCTCCCTCCATACAGAGGCTAAAAATACCCCTAAATTCCCACGTGGCCTGCCCAGCCCAGCCCAGCCCAGCAGGCCTCCTTTGTGGGCCACACTTCAGCCTAAGTCTTGCCCTTTGGTCTACGATCTCAGCAAGGGACCCCAAGGAAGTCTACTATCAGGTAAGATCACGGGATCTACAGGAGAAGCTTAGCAGAGTCCTCTATAGGCAAGGAGTTCCTGGGGGTCCTATGAGTTCCGAGAGGGAAGCTGGACCCTAGGAATGTAGCCAGAGCCACATTAGCCAGGCTAGATTAAAGCCTTTGCCCTTCTGCCTTCTCACCCATGGGCAGTCTTCATAAGACTCTAAACTCCCCTCTACCCTCCAGCCTCTGTGGATTGCAGTCAGTGGCAACAGGTATCTCTGAGGCCCCTTGGAGAGGTGCTGAGCGCACAGGCCTGATTGCACCACTGTAGCCCTAGTCAGTAGCCAAAGAGCCCAGCAATGACCGGAATGCAAGAACTGTGGGTGTTAGCTTGGGCATAGCCCGCCCTACATAGGTCACAGCTGATACATTGTAACCCCAGTCAGAGGCCTCCTCAAGAAGTTAAACAGGATAGATTCCTGGTGGGTATGGGGGCCTTGAAGTCACCAGTCCCTGAGTCTCCCTTTGCAGGCCTGGTCCTGAAGAAGTCCTTAGGTAGGTCCCTGTGCTGTAGGAAGGAGATTGCATCAGGGATTGGGACATAGGCCTCAAGTTCCGAGCCCACCCCAGTCACAGATTCTGTGGTTTGCCAGTTCCCTGGATACGACTTGTCCCTTGATTTTCTGATTTTCCCGTCCCTTCTTTCTTTCTAAAAGAATATTTTTGGCAAGTTCTCACTATGTAATCCAAGCAGGCCTGGAGCTTGCTGGTAACCCCACGTGGCTCAGCTTTCTGAGGGTGGGGATTGCAGGCATGCCCTGCTATGACCAATGACTATTTATTTCTTTGGTGGTTTCCTTTGGGTGAAATACCAGACATGAAAATAGTTAAGTCTAGAAGTTGGTCCGCTAACAGGCCACGTACACAACGTGATGGGAAAGTTGTCAGTGTTAAAACTGAGTTCCCAGTGGCAAGCCTGGTTCTGAATTCCACTGCTGGCTGCCCCGCTTCCCAGCTCTGTGGTCTTGAACAGATAACACAGTCAGTGTCTCTGTAAAATGATAGCACTTGCCTGACAGCATGACCGTGGGGCCAAATGTGAGCACAGGAAGTGGCTGTGTATAGGAACTGTCCCAGAGGGTGACCCAAAGCCTTTTCACCTTCAGTCTCTCCATCAGAAGTCAAGAAAACAGGACCAGAGAGGATGTGGCTCAACCAAGTCACCCAGCAAGGTCATGCAGACAGGCCGTGAAAACCTATGGTGCAGGGCAAAACCTAAAGACACCTCCAGTGGCTTACCCAGCAACATGGAGCCGGAGAGAGGAAGCCTTTAGGGGGCTTGGAGCAGAGAGGTTTCCTAGCCCAAGAGGTCTGTGATACGGAAGATAGGAGGCCTAGCGCTTGTGTTCTCTACATGGTTCAGTATTACCCTAACTAGTTGGCTAACCCTAACTAGTAGATCTAACTAGTAGATCTAACCCTCCTTTCCCTCCCTGTAAAGTGGAAGCAGCAGTCTGCTTGCCCATGGGGCTGAGGACCTAGGAGAGAGCAGGATGTGAGATGCCCAAAATGCCCCCACACTGGCAACATGCAGTAAGAGGGCACTTGCCAGGAGTAGGAATGACTGGTGCCCAGACAGTCATACAATGAATCACAGGTGAATGAGATGGTAGCTCTCATATCTGACCCTGTTTTCCTACTTAGGTGCTCAGGCGAGCCCCAGGTTCTACTTCTGGGGTAGAGGGTAGGCCACGAGAGTCTCTGTGGGCACTCATCATGGTGAGGAATCTTGACAACCTGGACTTCCATCTGCCTTCTCATGCCCAAGACATGCTGGACGGCCTTCAGCGTCTGCGTTCCCTGCCCAAGCTGGCTGATGTCACACTCCTGGTTGGTAACCAGGAGCTTCCCTGCCACCGCAGCCTTCTGGCTCTGAGCAGCCCCTACTTCCACGCCATGTTTGGCGGAGACTTCGCCGAGAGCTTTTCAGCCCGTGTGGAGCTGCGCGACGTAGAGCCGGTTGCGGTGGCACAGCTGGTGGACTTTGTGTACACAGGCCGGCTGACCATCACCCAGAATAACGTGGAGGTGCTGACCCGCACTGCCTCACGCCTTCACTTCCCCACTGTGCAGAAGGTCTGTGGCCGATACCTCCAGCAGCAGTTAGACGCCACCAACTGCCTGGGCATCTGCGAGTTTGGGGAGCAGCAGGGGCTGTTAGGCGTGGCGGCCAAAGCCTGGGCCTTCCTGCGGGAGAACTTCGAGGCGGTGGCCCAGGAGGATGAGTTTTTGCAGCTGCCTAGAGACCGGCTGGCCACCTGTCTGGCCAGTGACCTGCTGCAGGTACAACCGGAGCAGAGTCGGCTCAAGGCCCTGCTGCGCTGGGTGCGCCATGACCCCCAGGACCGGTCTGCCCATCTGCCCGAGCTCCTTAGCCTGGTGCATCTGGATGCTGTCCCGAGGCCCTGCGTACAGCAGTTGCTGGCCACAGAGCCGCTGATTCAGGAGTCAGAGGCATGCCAGGAGGCCCTGTCCCAGGGCCACAGTGGGGTGAGTGAGGGGCAGGGGACTTCCAGTCAAGGTGTGGAGGAGGAGCCTAGAATTCCCACCCGCATGGGGAGAAAAGAGTGGGCACCCTCAAAGTGCCCGATTGAGTATGGCTCCCTGCTAAGACTGGTCCCCCGAGAGAGCATCACGGTTCATTTATCAGGTGTGCCTCGCTCTGAGTACCGGGGAAGAACCTAGACCTGTCTCTATCTTTAAGAAGCCTACCGCTGAGTGAGGATGAGTCTAAATACAGATCTAATTGCACAGTGGAAAGGGCAGCACTGGGGAGATTCTAGGGGCATCTTGGTGAGGACAGACAGTCAGGAAGAATTCCCTAGAGGACTCAGCATCAGAGCTGGGCACAAGGTGAACAGGAGGGAAACATAGGAGATGGATGGGAGGATGACGAGGGAAAACTATCCAGGACATTGGCCCAGCTGCACTGTGGGCCTGTATCTGGCACCAAGGGCTCCTGAGGCTCCAGCTGAACCTGTATGGAGTTCCAGTCCTGCTCATGCTGGCAGTGAGCTGGCATCAGGCGGGACCTGACAGAGTGACGGGCCTAGCTGTGGTTGCCCCAAGGGTAATCGGAAGTACCTGGGAAAGCCCTTTGTGACTTCTGAGAGACACGGCTCTTCACAGGGTGGGGGCGTAGATGGGGTCGGTGTGTGCCCTGGCTAAGAGTGTGGATAGGGTGGGGGTGTCAGGGGGTGTACCCTGGGTAAGGGTATAGATGGGTTAGGGCGTGCAGGGGATAAGGGTATGGACAGGTTGGGGGTGTGCCCTGGGTAAGGGTGTGTGGATGGAGTGGGGGTAGTCGTGGGGTAGGGGCGTTCACAAGGCAGGGGTGTGCACCACCATGCCCAGTTCATGCAAACATGCAGGCACAGGGGCTCACAGATGCATAGGCACACGCTAAGGCCCACCTAACCTCAAGCACAGACACTGAGAGATCAACACCCATGGGCCCTTGTGCTGGACAGACAGTAGCTGGCCACTCTGATCTGGCTCCCACCCACAGGAACTTCCTGGCCACCCACAGAAGATGCAGGAGGTACTGGTGGTCGTAGGAGGGCGGGCACTGGAGGAGGACGAGGAGGGTGGTGAAGAACCTAGCCACCACACTGGGAACTTTGCCTTCTACAACACCAAGGCCAGTAAGTACCTGCCATGCTTGTCTTGGACATGATCCATGCACCACCTTGGGGTAGAGCCAGTGAGGTATCCAGAGAAGGGGAGACCTGACAAAGCCCTACCTGCAGAAGGTTGAGTGTCAGACCTTACCAGGCTAGCAGGGGAGCCTGGAGGCTATGAGGAGCTGGGCAATACTTTTAGTTTGTTCTCCCTCTGGCAGAAGCCCCACCTCTGGTTTTTAATTAGGCCCTGGGGGCTGGGTGGGTGTCTCAGCCCATTAGTTGCCTTAGGTTTCCCTGCCCTGTGCACCCAGTGTGGGAACCAATGCTCTAGCGGGGAAATGGGAGCTAAGAGGGCGCAGACAGCCCAGGAGTTAAAGTTCAGCTTCTGCGTCAGCCCAAACTGGAATCCAATGTGACCCTGGGACAGATCATTTAACCTCCCTGGGTGTGTCTTGATTTTTCTCATCTGTGAAATGGGTTCCCATGGTTGTAAAGAGGCCTGGGGAAGGGTAGTAGGGCATCCCACCGGCCATCTGCCCAGGAGGGCTCTTGGGAAAGAGCTGATGTGGGCTGGTTGGCTTCAGGACTAAAGCAGGTCACCAGCACCCACTGCAGTAGCTCTGGCGGGCTGGAGGAAGCCCAAAGCCAGCAGACTAGGTCAGAAACTGACGAGTAGGGATTTGGGGTTGACGTCAGGAGAGAGCAGCTGGCTGGCAACAACGGTTTGCTGATTGTTGGGCCATCCTCACCCTGGGGTGACACAGACATGAATCAGGGGACACTCCGTTCCCATCCAGGGCGCCAGGCCTGGCTCGCCATGAGTCCTAGAATTCTACATGTTCCCAAACTGTCATAAACAGTCAACAGTATTCCAGGGGACTTCCCCAAGGCCTGGTCTCCCACAAACACTTGCAATGAGTCCATTCATAGGATTTGACTTTCCCACGCCTATGATCTCATGATGGTTTCTTTCAAAGCTCTCCTCATCGCTCTGTCCCTCACAACAGCAACAGCAGCCTAACAGCCTCCACTGGTGGGCACTTTCCAAGAGTCCCATATCTCATATCACATCTTTTAAAATCTATCTATCTATCTATCTATCTATCTATCTATCTATCTATCTATCATCAATCTGTCTATCATCTATCTATCAATCAATCAATCAATCAATCTACCATCTATCAGCTATCTATCTATCATTTATCTATTATCTATCATCTATCTATCTTCTATCCATCCATCATCTATCCATCCTTCTATTTGTCTATCATCTATCTATCTATCTATCTATCTATCTATCTATCTATCTATCATCTATCTGTCTATCATCTATCTATCAATCAATCAATCTACCATCTATCAGCTATCTATCTATCTATCATTTATCTATCTATTATCTATCATCTATCTATCTTTTATCCATCCATCATCTATCCATCTTTCTATTTGTCTATCATCTATCTATCTATCTATCTATCTATCATCCATCTATTATCTATCTATCTATCAATCAATCTACCATCTATCTATCATCTATCTATCTTCTATCCATCCACCTATCATCTATCCATCTTTCTCTTTATCTATCTATCTATCTATCTATCTATCTATCTATCTATCTATGGGGTGTGCAGGCGCCATGGTGCACAGGTGGAAACAACTTGTGGGAATTGGTTATCTTCTTCTGTCATGTGACATCTAGGGATCAAACTTAGATCATCAGCCTTGATGGCAAGAGCCATCTTTACTGACTGGGCCATCTCTCAGATCCAGTTCACCCCTATTCTATAGACAGGGAAGCCGAGGCTGGACCGTGTCTAACGGGTGCATGCAAGCCAGGACTTGGACTCCGCTTTGCCTGCTGCAAGGCTGGTGTCTCATTCTCTGGATATCTTGTCTGCCTTGTAACTGGAGAGAGGCTCGGGATGGATGGATAAATGGATGCGTAATGCCCACACACACGGTCGATACCTTCTGTGACAGAGGCAGACTAGGTCCATTTAGGGTCAGCAGGGTGGGCTTCAGGCCAGGGTGCCAGCAGCCTGCAGATCTTTTATACCCTTGTTCCACTCTCGTCCAGTCTGTGCCCAGGCTCTAAGGGGTGCCATGGGGAAAGCAATGAGTTGGGACACCCCAGGCTGTCTCTGACCCTGTTTTCTTCATCACTAGTGTGTGTGTGTGTGGGGGGGGGCGTTCCTGCACTCAGTTTCTGAAAATGGAGCCAGGGCAGTCGGGGGAGCAGAGGACCTGCAGAAACACTGCCACTCTGACCTTCTGCCCCTCTCCCACCAGGGCAGTGGATGGCACTCCCGGACTTCCCTGATTACCACAAGTGGGGCTTCTCCCTGGCAGCACTCAACAGTGATGTCTATGTCACAGGTGGGTGGCCCAGAGCTCCTAAGGATCCCCTGAACAACTTGGTACTGCACCGGCCTCTCCAACCAACTCTCCTGCCCAATAGGAACCTGGAAAGTCTACTAAGACCTTCCAGACCTTTCTACACATCTGAAAGTGAGGGATTTCCAGAGGTAGAGATGGGGCAGAAACTCAAGGTTATCCATGGCTATACAGCAAGCTTGAGGCTAGCCTGCCGCAAACACGCAAAAACCAAAACAAGTCAAAAGCAAACGAATAAAAATTCTGACAGGTGCTAAAAGCCACCACTGTGTGTACTGAACCTCTCTCTGGCAGGTGGCTCACGGGGCACCAAAACAGACACCTGGTCAACCACCCAAGCCTGGTGCTTCCCGCTGAAGGAAGCTGTCTGGAAACCTGTGGCACCCATGCTGAAGGCCCGCACGAACCACGCCAGTACAGCCCTGAATGGAGAGATCTATGCTATAGGTGGTGAGGTCTCTCTCCCTGTCACCATGCCCCTCATTCCTAGAGCCAATGGTCCCCACCCCATCTTTCACTGGGGATGTTGCTGGGGAGAGCTCTCTGCCTTCTGGGGTCAGTGAACCCCATGCAGGTTGTCCTCAGACTCCCTGTCTGGGCCATCTTGGACAGGCAGCCCCTGTTTTCCTGTCCTGGAGAACTCAGAGACCCAGAACCAGCAGGAATGATCAGACACACCCCAGAAACAGGGACTCAAACCTCAGCTCAGGGTCACTGGAAAGTCTTGAGAGTGAATGACCCACAGTGACCTCCATGCAGCTATCAGCCTGACACAGGGACCACCTCGTCACCCAGACGCCCCAGGGTTACAGCAAAGACTTTCTCTGGAGAGCATATTGGCTAGATGAATATTAAAATAAGACCCAAAGGTGGCCCTGAAGAGCCGCAGGCGACAGTGAATTGAAGCCATTTCTAATGCCTTAGGGGACTGCCTTTTTCTCTAATAATTGCTGTGTTCCTGGCCAGGAAACAAAGAGCACCCATAGACCTGAGACCCAGGCACCTTGGGGTGCCCAGAGACTCATGCCTTGGGGTCTCACAGGTGCACATACCTCATAATAAGTTATTCCAATTGGCTCATCCACTCCACTGGGGGCTGTTGCCATAGTTTTATGCCTTACAACCTATTCTCCCAGGACTTGCCCTAGGGACCAGTGCCCACCATCCCACCCCCATACCACTTCTTGGTGTGGTCTTGGGAAGGCCCTGCCTATGAGGGGGGCCCAGTTCACTCCCTCCCCAGGTTCTACCTCCATCGTTCACCTTTCCTTCCTGGAGCCCTGGAGCCATCTCTGCCACCCTACATTTCCAGGACCCTCTCCTATGTCTAGACCCCAGTGCCCAGCTCCTACCCAGCTAAGGACATCCTTCCGTAGGCACCGCCCTGGATGCGGTAGAGGTGGAGCGGTATGACCCCTACACGGACAGCTGGACTCCCGTCAGCCCAGCCCTCAAGTATGTCAGCAACTTCTCTGCTGCCAGCTGCCAGGGCCGCCTCTACCTAGTGGGCTCCAGCGCCTGCAAGTACAACAGGCTGGCTCTCCAGTGCTACACCCCCGTGACAGGTGGGCAGGCCTCCCTGATGGCCTGGACTCCCAAGGGAACAGGTCCGGGTGGGGCTTGTAGTTTCTGAACCTGGCAGAAGGACAGCCACGTGGGGAGGTGTGGGTTGGATAGATGCAGAGCCTCAGGGACTCCCCGAAGCCTGTGGGAACGAGGCGGGAGGGCGGCCAGGTCAACCCCCTCCTGCACCCCTCACGGCCCAGTGAGAGGCAGTCAAGGCCTCACAGCCCACTGGCCCAAGCTTGTTCCATAGGCATTGAGGGTGCTGGAGCTCTGGAACCCTCAGAGCGGAGCCCTCATGACCTTCCCCAGTGAGGAGCTGCCCCCTCCTCCTGGTGAAGTTGCCCATCCATGTGCCCGGCAGATGCATGGAGTGTGATCGCCTCGCCTTTCCTGCCCAAGTACCTGTCCTCTCCACGCTGCGCTGCCCTGAATGGAGCCCTCTATCTCATTGGTGACAACACCAAGAAAGTCTACGTGTATGACCCGGGGGCCAACCTGTGGCAGAAGGTGAGTCTCCCCATGCCTCCCTCTGTCCACCCCTTGTGGAGTCTTGAATTCCTGATACCCCAGAGATGCAACAGAATGGAGGTGTGGAGGAATGCCTCAGATGCCAACAGAGACGCAGGGCAGGCCTCCAGGCTCTCTCTAGAAAATAGGGTGGTCCCACAGTACCAGGGACGATGGAGACATAGCTGCTGGTCACTGTCAAGTCCCTTTCCTCTGAATTCTTGTGTTCCCTTCTCAGGGATCAGATCCATGTTCAGGGTGAGTGCCTCTGGGGCAGTCAGAGATAGAAAGGAAGAATCATCTGTTAGCTGTGGGGCGGTGAGCATCTCACCCCATGGGAGATCAAAAGCAGGCGGATCCTGAGCTAAGAGGGTGGGGGTGCCATCTCAACTTGCCCGTCATTTTTAGCCAGTAGGCCCAGGAAGGGGTAGGAGGTGAGCGTGTCCAGACTCCATCGCAAGGAACCAGAGCCTGGCCTTTCTCCTCAGTTTCAGGCTGATGTTCTGTACCAGTCCACCTACCTCTCAGTTCCCAGTCCCAGGATCCTGATGAGCCAGCCTGAGGACAGAGGGCCCACTGAGTCCCACTGCCCACAGTTGCCCTCTGGTTTCAATGTTCCCTGATGGGAGGCCCCATTACGGTAGCGGAAGAGGTAGGGAGTGAGCCCTGACAGGGGGCTGCTTCCCCGAGCCTCTTCACGCGGAGGCAACGCAGGCTTTTTCTGGTCCATCTGTCCTCTCCATGAGAGCTGCACTGCAGCCAAGGCTCAAACTGACTCCACTGGAGGCAGCTCTGGGCTCAAACCTCAGCACCCCATTTCTATCCTTGACACCAGAGCCTGAAGGAGAGAGACAGCCTGTTAGACGTAGGTTGGTGAGAGACCATGGCCTCACTGGTAAAGCCTTTGGTATAAACACAGTGGGCAATGGATGAGCTCAGGGATTCAGGGTCAGCTGGCTGTCCCCAGCCCCACCAAGAGCATCCTTATTTCCACCCTCCAGTTGCCCACTGGTCCCTGACAGCTGCCATCCACAGGTGCAGTCTCAGCACAGCCTACATGAGAACGGCGCCCTGGTCTCTCTGGGTGACGCGCTGTATGTGACAGGCGGCCGCTGGCAGGGCATGGACGGTGACTACCACGTGGAGATGGAGGCCTATGACACTGTGAGGGATTCCTGGGCCCGCCACGGCTCCCTACCCCGTCTCTGGCTCTACCACGGGGCCTCTACCATCTTTCTGGACATCTCGAAGTGGACGCAGCCCTTCAGCCCCAGTGCCGGTCAGGAGCACTAGGGAGGGAGGAGCTCCTGGGTCAGTTCTACATTGCTGTGCAGAATGGCTCCTTTTGTGCTTGTCTTCCGTTCATTGTGAGCTGCTGCCCCCTCCAGGGCTTGGGCTTGGCTCAATATCAGATGTCACAGATGTCACAGCTGAGGACACAGCTCTGGTCTCCGGTGCTACCAAACTTGGTGACCAGCGATGAGAACGAGACCCTGACACTAACGTTTGGCAGGGGAGAGAGCTCTGAAGACCTCCGAGAAGGAAGCTGAGGGGTCCTGGACTACACTCGCCAGGCAAACAGGCTCCAAAGTGTCAGCTCTTCTTGCTCTACCCATCCATGGTTTTAGGGGGAAGCTGCACAAATTAGGGGTTCAATGGGGTACCTAGAACTCTGAGCCAGGACCTCAAGCTTGGGTGCTCACCGCAGCTCTTTGACCACGTCCACAGCTTCCTCTCTCCCCTCTTTCCTCAGATTCCACATTCACACACACACACACACACACACACACACACACACACACACCCCGCATGGGGTGGCTAGATAAAGGCCAGGTTCTCCCCATCCCTGGCTTCTACATGTTGGTACCATGTTTACAGATCTGCTTCTGGGATGAAGGTAGCTCTGACACCAGAAGGCAGCCACTGAGGAGACACGAGGATGTGATACGGGGCAGGAGAGTAAGACAGTGGAGGATCTCCTTAGAAAGTGGCTCTCAACCTTCCTAATGCGGAGACCTTTTAATACGTTCCGCATGTTGTGCTGATCCCCCTCCAACACACACACCATAAAATTGTTTTGTTGTTTCTTCATAACTGTAATTTTGCTACTGTTATAAATTATAATGTAAATAGCTGATATGCGACCCCTCACCCTAGTCTTCAGGGACTTCTGGAGATGGCCCCTGGCTGTGCCAGAAGTTTGCTCCTAGTGATCTGCTGGGATGGGTTGGGGCTAATATCTGATGGGCTCGTCTGTTGGTCGGGATGTGATTTGGTCTGGCTGAGACTTTAGTCTTACTAAGGTTGTGTGTGGCTCAGTCTCCACATATTCTCTGTGTTTTTTTTCCTCCCTCCCATCTTTACTCCCTTTGTTTCTTCTCCCTCTTCCTCTCCTCCAGAACGAAGCACTAGATTTGTAACCAAACAATAAAGGACTCTCACTGTGTGTGAGTGACTTGGTCTGTCTGTTAGAGTCTAGTGAGGACCTAGACTGTAGGTTGGGAATTGATTGGGCCAACACCAGTTACTACCCACTGAGGCCTTGAGTGGCCCCAGCTCCCACCGCATGTGGACTTCTCCAGGCCCAGCCCAGGGGACTAGAGTGGCCCCTGACACCCTGGGCTCTGAGGACAGAACTCAGTTCCATCCTGCTTTTGTAAGTCCAGCTTCACTTTGCTCCTAGACTAACTCAGAGATCAAAAAGGGCAAGGTATATGGGTGTTGGCTTCTAACAGAAGGGAATCCAGACTTGGGTTGAGTGCTCCCAGGATATGGTGGTTTGAATAAGAATAGCTCCCATAGGCCATTTCAATACTTAGTCATCAGGAGTGGAACTGTTTGAAAGGATTAGAAGGATTAGAAAGACTGGCTCCTAAGTGAGCCATCCCAGGGCTCTGCGCCCGGGGGAAATGTCCTACTGTGTTTTCCAAGCATTCCATCCCAGGGCTCTGCCCACGGCAAATGGCCTACTGTGTTTTCTAAGCCTGCCATCCCAGAGCTGTTCAAAGGTAAAGGCTGAAAGAGTGCAGCTGACTCTAATCAGAAATGGGGAGTTGGACCAGGCAGTGGTGGTGCACGCCTTTAACCTCAGCATGAGGGAGGCAGAGTTAGGCGGATCTCTGGGAGTTCTAGGCCAGCCTGGTTTACAGAGTGAGTTCCAGGACGGCCAGGGCTGTTACATAGAGAAACCCTGTCTCAAAGAAACCACAAAAAGAAAGAAAGAAAGAAAGAAAGAAAGAAAGAAAGAAAGAGGAAGTTGGAAAGGCCATGCATCTCGGGACAAGTGTGAGCGGGGGAAGTCCTGGAGTGGGAACACATGCTGTCCAGGGCATGGTCCTCAGCTTTGCTGAATTGTGCCTCATCAGGCCTAGAGTCTAAAGGGCATCTCCAGCTGGGGGCCAGCTTCAAGGGAGTCCAGGCAGGGCTGTGGAAATGCCAAGAGCTAGCAACACAGGGTACCCTGACCACCTGCTTCTGGGGACACAGGAAGACGGTGAATGGTGCTGAGAGGCTGCTGGGGAGCACAGCTATAGCCACAGTGCCTGCTGTGGCTTAGGGACACATACGAAAGATGTCCCTAACTCTCCTGTCCCCATCTCCTGCTAGTGCCGCCCCCTGGCCAAACCAACCAGAACCTAGGGAGGGGAAAGATGGTGCTGGCACAGTCCAATAAAGCCACCCTCAGGACACAGATGGGCAGGAAAGGGGATACTCACCAGCACACCACACAGAAACTCGGGCACACTGGTCACTCATGAGATCCTTCTGTAGACAGACCCACATGTAATGCAGGGGAAGGCCACAGGCAGCCAAAGAATCATTTCTCAGGGCCCCAAGGGGAACAAGAACTAGATGTTTGAAGCTAATGAGGCTTCTAGTGAGGACATAGAGTCCTCAGGAGCTCATGAAGCCTACAGGAGCCCTCAGAGCTGTAGAGGCCTCAAGAACACTTGGAGACCCCGTGTCTTCATGACTGTTCTATTGCTGTGAAGAGACAGCATGACCAAGGCAACTCCTGCAAAGGAACAGCATTTAATGGGCGGCTGGCTTACAGTTTCAGAGGTTTAGTCCATTATCATCACGGAAGTGAACATGGTGGCGTGCATGGTGCTGGAGAAATAGCTGAGTGCTACATTGTGATCCTCAGGCTGAGGGAGTCGAGGCCTCGCATGGGCTTTGGGGACCTCCAAGCCTACCCTCAGTGACCCACTTTCTCCAATAAGGCCACACCTCCTAATCCTTCTAATCTTTTCCAACAGTTCCAATTCCTGGTGGCCAAACATTCAAATACATGAGCCTGTGGGGGCCATTCTTATTTCAACCTCCATGTCCTGGGAGCACTCAGAGTCTTCAGGAGCATTTAGAGCAAGCAGAAGCACTCAGAGCCCAAAGGAGCACTCGGAGCCCACAGAGCCGCTGATTGTAAGGCCTGGATGTGCTTTCGTTTGGTGACTCCCTGACACTCCCCAGCTCGGTGCTCCATTTTCTTCATTTATGTGACGGGAACAGTCATGTGATCTGAGCACGGATGGTCCATCCATGTGGTAGGTAGACCAGGTGACACCACAGCCATCTGCCTGTGCTCTAGAGGCCACACAGGTAGTTGGCCTCGGGCAGGCTCCCGGTGCCTTTGAGTTAACGGAGATTGCATCCCAATGACCTCAGCAGCCAACAGCCTTCCTTTGGAGGAAGTGGGACCCTGGGAAAGCTTGGCTTGCTGAACTGCCAGGGAGCCTGGACAAGGCCATGACATGAGGGCACAAGAATGAGGATTAGATTTCTGCCAGGAGAGAAGGCACATGGGGAGGTCACTCCAAGCTCTGCCTGCCCTGTCCTACGGCCACTCCTTCAGCAGCTCTACCCAGATGCAGGCACCACCCTCAAGGGTTCCACTTCTGAATAATAGTTCCATCAGTACTGTGGGTTCTGGACCCCATTTCTAATGCTCCGTGAGCTTCGTTGTGCACTGTCCTCCAGAGGGACTTGTGTTCAAATGGGACCCTGCAAACAATCAGGAGCCTTTCCTGAAAGCCCAGAGTCCCAGGGCCATGGGCCTGGGCTGGGCTGAGTCATTACCTTGAGCTAGGGTCCAGGAAGCCATGCCAGCACCAGAACAGATTGGATCTGGGCCCTCTGGAAGAACCCATGATGTCACTAGGACAGTCCACTGGAAAAATAATTATTTTCACATGGTAGCAGATCCTGATGTCAGCCCTTCAGCTGAGGCCCTCGCTGTGACGGAAGTAAGGCCACTTGACATCTTAGGGTCATGCTCCCTAAATCAAGCCCCCTCATCAGATTCCTTCTTTTGGCCTTTAAGGGCACATGTGCTCACGTGTGCATGTGTGTGCGCGCGCGCGCGCATGCATGCGCGCGCGCGCGCACACACACACCCACACACACAGAATTTAAGATTAAAACTAACTAAATAAACAAACCCAAATAAAGCCAGGTGTGCTGGCTTATCTCAAGCCAGTGCAATGATAGCTGCCCAAGGAAGAGTGGGCCTGCCTATTTGGAGGAGACCACCTGCTCTTCTCCCAGATCAGGCCTTCAGGGTTTACCATATCTGTCCTGGTTGGATGCCCCGTGGGCAGCCTGAGTTCCATCTGCCCCTACACCTGCCTTAGAGCATCAGAGGGGTCTGTCCTTCCTGCCAGGCTGGGTCAGTGCTCTGTAGCTGTTAGCATTGTCGATGGAGTCAGAAAAGCTCCAATATTGAAGATACATCTGGTGGCAGCGTGGGAAAGAGCAGGAGCACTTCACAAGAGTTCCGGGTTCCCAAGCTTGAAAGGGAGGAGCCATGAGGGGCTCCATACTCCAAGTCATCAAGGCCTAGGACTTGCAAGGCACCTGGAGAAATGGAAGGGCGCCTGGGGCGTTCAGAGGACACGCAGAATGGTGGAGTGGGGTTCTTGAGTGTCCTTGGAGAAAAGGGGGTCTTACAGAGCTGAAGGTGCAGGTTAAGAGACGACATGTTGGCCTTGGGCTGCAGAAGGACAGAGGCTAGCCGCAAGAGGAGGTGGACTTCCACCGGCGCCCGCCCTCTCTCGGGGTCCCCGGTGCCTGCTGAGCCCGCCCGAGCCGCAAGGGGGCGACGGCGGAGAGGGCGGCGCGTGCGAGGCGGGGGATTCAAGCGCGTTATAAGGCGCGGACCTGACCCGCTGTGCTCGCTCGCCGCTGTCGCCTCCGCCGGCATGGCCTCCGCTCACAGCCTCGCCGGAGCTCTCCTGCTGCTCACCTGTGCCAGCCTGATCGCCGCCATGGGCCTCCCGGAGCCCGCCGCGCCCGGGGGGAACCAGGCACATCCGCGGCTGCCCGGGAACGACCTGCCCACCTCGCCTGCCGACAGCCCACCGGTAAGATGCTCCCGCGCCCCAGACCTCCCTGTCCCAGGGGACCAGAGACTGCAGGAAGGTGTCCAGCACCCCAAATGCCCTGGCAGGGGCTCAGTGAGACCAAGGGTTGTGTGGTTGCGCCGTCAGCATGGTGCGGTGGCTTTGGCGGCAGAATTCTACTAAGCCAGTAGGAGAAGCTGAGGAAGGTGTGAGAAGCAGATAACTTGCTCGTAGCAAAACTGGAAGAGTAGCAGAAGAGAGGCGCTCTCAGACCCAGCTCCTTTTTGTTAGGCGACTTTCTAACTTAGGTGTTAGGTAACTGCTCGTGAGAAAGGACTGATATAACCAGGCTCTGCCCCTCCCTTCTCTCCAAGATCTCCACCTGAAATACTGGGGTGGGGGGTTGTGTGTGTGTGTGATGGGGGGGGGGGGATGCAGGCTGGGGTGGGTGTGACCAAAGGGCTGCAGAGCGCGAATTGGCAGCTCTCACTGAAACCACTCAACCCTGGAAGCAAGGGCTCATGGAAGAGTCCCTGTGGGCCAGTCACAAGGAAACCCCAGGCCAGAGTTCTGTCCTAGGCACCCCAGAGGCCAACAAAACATTCACTAAGACAGCTGGAGATGGTCATAACCCTGGGCTCCTTCTGCAAGGTATCCCAAGGTCCCTTCCACCATCTCATCCCACCTCACCCAGCCGCCTCTGGGTCGGTATTCCCCCCTCCCCCACAGACCTAACCAACAGGAAGCAGGAGTGGGCTGGAATTTACCAGTGGGGTTTTGGTCTTGAACCCTCTTTGGAGTGTCAGGCCGTCACCAGCTTCCTTATAGCTGGAACATGACTGGCCAGGGCAGCTGCCCAGCCCCAAGCCAACTCCTAGGACTCCAGACCAACATGGCTAACGGGTCTGAGCCCATACACAACTCATTGGTCCCCCTGGAAGGATTGTGACCTATAATGGGAAGCAGTGTGTCCTACGTTTCCAATGAGGGTGCCAGTCCAGGAAGAAGCACGGAAGCCTCCATCTTGCCAGCATAGCAGTCTGGCCTGTGACCCACAAGGCACAGGTCTGGGTCATTCTGAGTTCCTGCGTCTCTGTA